GGTGAGAGGAAAAGAGGATCAGTGAGGCCAGAGCCCTGAGGAGTGGCCACTGACCCGACGGAGGGGACCGTGGGAGGAGCGTGGGAGAAACACACCCGCAGAGGGCAGTGGGGACCGGGCGGCGCCACCGGAGGCAGGCAGGAGGCAGCTGTGGGTGAGGGTCACGCTGCTCCTCCAGGGCAGGCCCCGGGGGAGGGAGAACAAGAATTCTCCAGGGGAGGGGGCCGGGCTGGGGAGAGGGAGGAAAAATGTCCCACAGAGGCACCGTGGGCTCGGAGGGCAGGGGACGGTCTCACCCGCAGAACCTGAACCTGGAGCCCAGCGCCCCGCACGCAGCAGGCGCTCAGTAGCGACCACGTGGGCCTCGCTGTACCCTTGCTGTCGCCCGTAACGAGCGCTTCCTTAGCGCCAGGTACTGTTCCCGGGGCTTTAAGGTGCCCCCCGGGAGGTGAGTACAATTATTAAACCCATTTTACAGATTCTGAAGGACCCTGAGAGAGGAGGGAATGGAGGGGAGGGACAAGAGTGAGGGAAGGGCGAGGAGGAGGGAGGGCACAGCCCAGTCCCCACCACACAAGACAGGCCCTTGGCTGCAGCGATGGGTAGGAGAGGCTGGGATGAGGGCAGAGGGGTCGGCCTGTCCCCCAGGCATGGTAAGCAATTACGACTCCATCCGCAGGCCCAGGGGCATCGCTGAAGGATATTCAGCAGGAGGCGCTGCTTTGCAGAAATGCCACTCGGCCCGTGTGTGCAGACGATGCAGGGCGAGAGGACAGCCTGCTGCCGGAGATGGAGAGGAGGGCGGACTCCAGCCCTGTCTGGGAGTGGACATGGCAGAGCTTGGTGGTGGCCGGTGGTGGGCAGCTGGGAGGGAGGAGGTGGCCTTGGGCGCACAGTGGTGCTGGGAAGGGAGCAGGCTTGCTGGGGGAGACCACGCACTCCAGACACGGTGACTTCCTGCGGACGGTGGGCCCCAGGAGCCATCCAGGGGGTCAGATGTCCTAGTGGCCTGGACTCAGGAGGAAGGCTCGGGCTGGAGACAGATTTGAGGGTCACCAGCTGTGGCTGAAGACCACGGGGTTGTGCGGTGAGACACAACTTCGAGAGGGACAGGAGAGGGGTGGAGACTGTGACCTCATTCATGGGACATGGCAGTGCAGACACCCTGGAGGGAGTCACCGTCTCGGGGACAGGCTGGCATCTTGAAACAATGGCCACTTTATGGCAATGTGTACATTTATGTTGGCTGCGGACACATTGAGTCCAAGCGTCCAGTGGGGCCCCTGGGAAGGCACTAGTGACTCCATCTAGGATTCTGGAAACCACAGCCATCTGCAGAAGGCACCGGAGGCCCAGGGAGGAGGCTGAGCCAGCAGCCGACCTCCATCGCTCTACAGGCCCTTCTCCTGCTTCATTTCTCTGCACAGCACTCGCTCCCTACAGCATATCACACAGGCACACTTCCCGTCCACTGTCCAAGTGCCCACCGGAGCCCCAGCTCCCACAGGGCCAGAGCCTGTGGGCACCACCTTCCCTGCTGTAGCCCCAGAGCCCAGGCCAGTGCCCAGCGCAGAGCAGGTCCACAGATACTTGCTGAATGGAAGAATGAATGAACAAACTCCTGCTGGCCGTGTGCAGAGCGCCCGGTCAGCTGGCATTTTTCACCTCTCACTGTGGATAAGCACTGACCACTTCCCGCTTGCAGTCCCCTTAATACCCTAACGCAGGCACAATGCGCCACCCAGGAGAGCTGACCCCCCCGGGGAGCAGTAATTGGGGCATTACCACCATTATTACTCATTTCCCTGAAGAGAAGACACATGATGTCAGTCCTCAGGGCCCTGATTAGATTGCGGTTTTGTTATCATCGACAGTCTGGCTCCTAGTGGGCCTCCTTCTTGAGGTCCGCAGAAGTCACCACAATTGCCCCTGTGTGTCCCCAGTCCCTCATACTATTAGAAACCATGGGTTCCACCCTCCCCAACCCAAAAACCATGGTAGGTGCTGGCTGTGATTCTAATTCCCATTGTAGACACGGGGAAACCGGAGCCCAGGAAGGCTCAGAAACCTGCCTGAGGACGCACAGCTGGTAGTGGTGTGGCTGGGATTTGATCCTAGACCTGGCTCTGGAGTCCACGGCACAGTGCCTGCACAGAGGAAGCACTGTAAACATGGTCCTGATCCACCTCTCTGTGTGCTCCTCCCGCCAGCCCCCTGTGAAAGATGCAGCCAAACGCCCCCCCCACAGAGGGGGAAACCAAGGCTCAGGGGGGTTCAGAAATAGTTCCAAGGGGATGATGCAGGAAGTGACAGAGCTAGAACTTGGCCTCCATCCCCTCTGCCCCAGGCCTCACCAGGGAACGCGTCTCCACAGTGACCAGGACTTTGTCCCCAAGCAAATCCAAAGCCAGTAACACGTAGGCACAGATAAGAGCTCCCCGTTCATTTTCTGTCTGCAGACCGGCTGCAGGGGTGGGAGGGGGAGGCGCTCCCCCCATGTTCTTCCTGTTGTCTCACCCCAGATCACTCCTGGCAGTCAGGACGCACAGATGTGTGGGGCCACTCACGTCGGCAGGGACTCCAGGGCATCTATGACTCGGAGCATAATTCTGGGCCTGAGTGTGCAGGCCCCACCTTGACTGTCTGTGACACTGTGACAAGCTGGGGTCCTCTCAGAGCCTCAGTCTCCTTCCTCATCTGTGAAGTGGGGGCAGAACCATTTGCTCATGGGGTGGTCGCAGGGAGGCAAAGAGACCATGGCTGGGTGGAAGGGGCCTCGGACAGTGCTGATGGACCAGGGGGCGAAAGCTCATCTCTAAGCACCAAGTAAACCCTCTGAGACCCTGAGTAAATGATGGCTGCCGTGGCAACACAGGTCTCACGGGGACAAGCTGATTCCATTCATATAAAGTTCAAAAGGAGACAAACAGATATTGGGGTTAGAAGTCGGGATAGTGTCCTTGGAGGTGGGGGCAGGACACTGAGGCCCAAACAGGAAAATAACTTGCCCAAGATTACTGAGCAAGTGGGTTGCAGAGCTGAGACTGAGACTGGAACGCAAGTTTGTTTGTTTTTAAAACTCATCTGGCCACCAGACTGAAGTCACAGAAAAGTCCTACAACTTTAGAGTTGAAGAAAAGAAAATAAAGAATCAGAAAATTAGTCAA